GGTGGCGGGGAATCTTGAGACAAAGTATGGATTTTTGATTGATTTTTCGAAGGTTTTAATAGGAGATGTGGATAGTGACGGTGAGGATGTGGATTCCGGAGAAGGGGTTTGACATTTCCCCGGCCCAGATGGTGGCCACCCGAGGGTTTTGACAAGTAGTTTGTGAAGACATTAGAATTCCTCGGTTGTCATTTCGTGTTCATATTGAGGATATCTGGGAATAGACGAATAGTTTATTCCTCGGGAGATGCTTTCTTTCTAAGGAAATAACTACTGTAGGATTCGTATTATATATAATCGCGATCAGTTTTGGCCGTTAGGTGATTCTTCTGGCATTACTTCTATCTATCACGTGGCCTTCCACTTGGACTTGGGTTAATTGTACTAGTCGTCACCAAACTTTTAATTGTACAATTGTCACTGAACTTCAAATTGGTAGCAATTTAGTCACTTAACTTTATTTTGATCACTCCAATTTTGACCGTTTTGTTTTTACTATTTCTTTGTTTTTAATTGTTTTCTTTAATATTATAATTCTTATATCAAACCATGTCAACGTCAACACTAGTTTGATGTTAGGTTTGTTTAAGTCTATTTGTTTCTATTAAAAATAGTTACTGGTTTTTTTTATTTGCTATTAATAATATTATTGGTTTAGACATCTAACAATTTTATGTAGTTTTGTCATTTGTTAGTGGTAACAAGTCACTGGCAGAAAAATGCGCCATAGGTACAATTTTGTGTTCTTCATTTTCTATGATCAAATATGCGTTTGCATTTGAAGGTACAAATTTACACAATTTATCTTCTCAGTTAACATCTTGTTATAATGTGGATGTAAAAGAACTTAAAACAAAATAATATTCTTAGTGATGGTTATTCTTATTTTTGAAAATGTATTTTGAAACCTTTACAGTTACATGTTTTTCCTTTCAAATATCATAGTTGAAAGTTTCTTAAAACTTTATGTATAGATTTTTAAAAATTTCCATATTTCACAAAATAAAAATCTTAGGAAACTGTTTTTTGAGTTTAAAAAATGTTTTTGAGAGTTTCCAAAGAGCATATGAAACATGTCCAGAATAGAAGCACTAGCCTTTTA